CATTTTTAATTTCATTAACTGGTCATTTGTGAGAAGCAAATTAAAACAAGACTGAGATTCCATCTCACTTCAGAAAGAATGGCTATCATCAAGAAATCAACCAGTAACCGATGCTGGTGGAGCTATGGAGAAAAAGAAAGCCTTCTGCACTGTTGGTGGGAGTGTAGACTGGTAAAATCACTGTGTAAATCATGGCGATTCTTCAGAAAACTAGGATCAGATATCCCATTTGACCCAGCTATTTCCCTTCCAGATATTTTCCCAGAAGAATTAAAAGCATCATACCATAGTGATGTATGTGCACCCATGTTTATAGCAGCACAATTTGTAATAGCTAAATCTTGCTAACAACCCAAATGCCCATCAACTGAAGAATAGATTAAAAATGTGTGATATTTTTATACAGTGGAATATTACTTAGCTACAAAGAAGGATAAACACCAGGCTTTTATAGATAAATAAATGGCACTAGAGACCATACTGATAAGTGAAATAAATCAGACTCACATATGTAAACATTCTATTGTCTCCGTGTAAGAAACTGGAATATTAAATAAGGTGCAAAAGGTATCATAAATATTGTGAAAAGGAAGACAACTTCTTAAAAGGAAAGAACAACTGTTACGGGGAAAAAAGAAAAGAAAAAAGGGGGAAATGCACACACACACACACCACAAGATAGTTAAGATAATTGTACTAGAGGTCCTTTAAGTTCAGGGGAAGAAACTGTGATTGCTTAAATTGTTTCATTTGTTTTGTATGCCTATATCTTTTCATCTGAGCAACTATTTTGACGATAACAATATGCAATATAGTGACTCTTACTAATTTCCTATGAACTTGTTTAAAAATCCTATATCAGTTCTACAGTTTGTTTTATTTTTATTGTTTTGTTTTCTTTTAATCTCTTTAAAATGAAAATAGGAAACCAACAGACACAAAAATAAATCAAAAATGAACATGAAGTTGAACCCACCTTATAAAAGAAAGACTTGCCCGAGTGTGAGAACATCCCCACCCACTCACAGAGCCACTGGCCATCACATATGTTGTGCTGATTCTTGCTCCCTCCCGTCCTTGCTGGAATCACCATCTTCACTACTGTTACCTGTTCCTCCTGTTCCTCCATTGTTTTAGCCCATAGTTATGTGTCTCTGCATGTGCATTTTAATGCTGATGATTTGAATGTTTATATATGTACAAAATCATACTTATTAATCATGTTGGTTAATCATATTGATTATGTCTTCTATTTCTCAACTGAATGCTTAACATTCATAAATATTGTAATTATTTCAATATTTACTGATGAACAGTGATCTCCTGTAGGAGTATAGTGCCACTTTTGAATGTACAGTAAATGGACTTTGGGTTTAAGATACTTTGGGGTTCCTACCAACAATTCTGCAATAAATATTTGTGAACACAAATGCTATTTAACATGAAGGTGTACATAATTGAGAATATTTACTTAGGTGTGGAATTGTTGGGTGTAAGGGAATTTCTCAAGTAAAGTCTTAATAGCTCGGCATGGAAAGGCAGGCCCATAATGCCAGCTTCTGGGAGGATGAGACAGAATTGCAAATTTGAAAACAACTTGGTAAATTTAAAAAGATGCTGTGTCAATATAAAGAAATAAATAAGTTTGTTGCTGTAGTTCAGCTGCAGAGCACCACTGTGCTCAGGAGAAACTCTCGATATGAATCTCAAGTAAGCACAAAAGCAGAGAGTATAATAACTCACCAGCTTTAATGATTATATATATTTGTCTATCTTATTTTACTTATTTTTGCTTTCTTCTACTCTGCAATATTTTCAAGCAAATTTTAGGTATTGTATCATAAACTACTTCAGTCTAAAAAAAAAGAATATTTTAAAAACACCCACAATACCACGATAGCACTAAAAATACCCCCAATGCCTCTACAACCCCCAAGTGAAACAGCAATTCCTTAATTAGAATGATATTTTTAGCCAGTGTAAGTAGCCTTCAAGATAGACATGAGCCAAGAAAGTTATTCTGCAGATGGGGCAAAGGGCTTCATAATACATAATACCAAACAAATCAATATATAATATCAATCACGTTCAACTAAATTATGCTGTTTATTATTTTTAGAGGGGACTGAAACCAAGAACTTGCACTAAGCTACATCCCCCACCTTTTTTACTTTTTATTTTGATATGAGATCATACAAAGTTACTCAAACTGGTCCAAAACTTGAGATCTTCCTGCCTCAGCCTCCTGAGTAGCTGGAATTACAAGAATGCACCACTGAATCTGGCTACATGCCCTTTAATTTAATTTATAGACAAACACACAGATATATAACAAAACATGTGGAGGAAAATTATTTTCAAAAAATTATTTTCAAAAAATACCCAAAACACAGAAACAAATTATAAAACTGAATAATGCAGACACAATCATTTTAATGAGGCAAGGACTTTAACAAACTCCTCAACAAACAAGATATACAGATTGCAAATAAGTAAATGAGAAGATGTGCCACATCATACATGACCTGGAAAAACTGAACTGAAACAGTGAGATGAGGTGGGCATGGTGGTACAGGGCTATAGTCCAGCACTCTGGGAGGCACAGGCAGGAGGATCATAACTCTGAGCTAAGACTTGACAACTCAGTGACCAACAAACCCTCCCTCAAAAACTAAATTTTAAAAAGGACTGGGCTGTACCTAATTTGAAGGTTGTAGGTCCAATATACATAAGTGTCAGGGGAAAACACAAATAATAAAGAAAGTAAAAAGAAAGGAGAGAGGAAAGAAGGAGAGAGGGAAGGAGAAGGAAGGGAAAAGAAGGAAGATAAAAACAGCAAGTTATGACTTTGCTTTTATGCAAAATAGCCACAACCTACCATACTAACATGTTATATAAATGCTATCAAGCATGTGGCAAATTTCACTTACTGTGTATGAGAACACAAAATAGTTACATGCCATCCAGAGGCACTTTGGTGGCTTCTTACAACGTGAACCACTCATATTTTAAGATACACCCCAGCAAATGTGTTTCTCAGTATTTTCCTAAAGAATTTTGTCCACACACAAATGCACACCTGGATGTTCCCAGCACTTCCTTCCATAACTGCCAAATCTTGGAACCAATGAAGATTTTGAATAATGGATAAACCGGTGCAGCTGACAGTGGAATATTGGCACTAAAGAGAAAGAAGCTATCAAACCATGGAGGAAAAGTCAATGCAAGTTGCTATACGGAAGGTCAGTGTGAAAGGCTTACACACTCAAGTGTGTGACATCCACACAAAGCAAAACTACGGAGCCAGTAAAACACTAGTGGAGGAGAGAGAGGAGAATGACAGAGCGCAGAGGATTTTTAGGGCATGGAGATGACTCCCCATGAAACTACAATGGCCGGTACATCCCATACGTTGGACACTACCAAGGAGAGCCCCAGGGTAAATAATGGGATTGGAGAGACAAAGGTGAGTCTAGGGAGATCCAGCATTTGAAAAGCTGCATCACTGAGTAAGTGTGGGAATGGATATCACCAGAGGTTGTGAATGGGTGAAATCTTTATAGCTTATGCCAGATTTGCATGAATCTAGAACTATAGCTACTGAAGTTTAAGCTGAGTGTGGAGCTCTCACCTGGTATCCAGCACTCTTAGAGACTGAAGCAGGAGAATCACAACTTGAGCCCAGGCTTGGAAATTTAGCAAAGTAATGAGGCTTTGTATCCAATGGGGCAGGGGCTGGCTGGAGATTCAGCTCACTCAAAACGCTGGGTTCAAACTCAGCACTAAATAAATAAATAAATCCTAGGAAAAAAGCAGGCTCATCTGTGCTGCTGTTATACAACCCATGAATCTTGAATTTCTGGGAATTTGCTCATATCTAGATGGATCAACTGAAAACATGGTAGTATTCATGGATGCATTGGAACCCACATTTTTTATTTGCATTACTAGGGAACTGAACCTAGAATCATTCCACTGCACTACATCTCCACCTCAATTTTTTGTATTTTATTTGGAAAGAAGTGTTCACTATGGTGCCAAAGCAAGTTTTGAATTTGCCATTCCCCTGGCTGAGCCTGAGAGCACACTGGGATTACAGACCTGCATCAATGTGCCAACAGCAAACGACTTTTATTAGTTCAGGCAGGGGCTGAACATTGGGTGGCAGAGACAGCCTCTGCCAGAGAGTAACCTGTGACTACTCAGCATCATTCTAAACTCCAAAAACAAAAGAAGCACTTCCACCCTTCTCAAGGTGGATATCCCAAAGGTTTATTTTGGATCCTCAGACAGTCAAATCTGCGTATGTGTCTTGGTGGTGAGTGGCTTACAGAAAAAAAGATTCTCAGCTTTCACTGACAGCTGCATACAATGGGGTAAAGTGTGGAGGATGTGGGCACCCAGGGAGGAAACTCCTAATAAAAAAAATGGAAGGATGCCACAGGTGCTACTGTGGTGCAGTGAATCGAGGACGGGGCTGGGAGGGGGCAAGACGAAGAATTACTGGTCCTAGAGATGGAAGCTTCTTCTTAGCGAGGCAGTGGAGAAGCACTGGTTCTCTGACCTATGGGTTCTGCACTGTCCTTCATGGCGCCCGGCTTTTCCCTCCTGAGCTTTCCCTTTGTTTTTTATTTTCTAAGGTCACATCTTAGCTGGGCCTTAAAGAATACACATGTCTTAGGACATCAAAAGCATGAATTTGGAGGAGTCAAGAATGTAAGGGAAATGGGAAAACCGCTCTATACTGGAAATGCAATGAAGTCTGGGGTCAGTGTGAGGGAAGGAGGAGACAGCTCATGAACAGCAGAGCAGTGAGGAAGGGCTCCTGATGGGAGCTGACAGGGCTGCCTAACGCTCCTGGGGAGTTCTTTGATTTCCCAACTCCTCAGGAAAGTGTATGACACAATGAAGGTTCATCTGTGAGTAGCTATTTGCAGAAAAAAAGGAAATGGCCTGAGCATTTCTATGTGTGGATTTATACTAAAACAGAGCCATCAGAGAACACTTAGCCAGAGTCTTTTATTTGGAGCAGAAACTCAAAACCACAGGTGTTCATGAGAAGGGAGTTTATAAATACTGTACACAGGACAGGAGCTTACTGGACATGATCTTGTTCATGTTACAAGGGTTGGAGACCAGTTTAAGTACAGATGAGAGATTATCATTGATACCTAAATTAGACAATTGTTTGCTGATTCCTTAATTCAGTAAACACATTGATTCATTAAGTCAACATACATAGCAGTCACTATTTCCCACAGAGGGGAGGAATATCTATCAGTGAATGATACTGAATGAAATCTCTACCTACAAAGAGTTTATATTTCATCATCTGAAAGAAACCATATGAAGCTCTGTACATCATTATCTTTTTCATATAAATAAGTTTAATGGTTTGGATGAGCTTACTAAAATCCTTAAAAATTATAAAAGAATAATTTAAAAGGATAAAATAAACCTGAACACTCCATTAAAGAATTGAACCTATTATTAAAAGTCGTCTCAGAGAAAGAAATCAGGATACCATTGTCTTCACCAGTAAATTTTCCTAATCATTTAAGAAAGATACAATACCGGAAGATAGATTCAAGGAGTTCCCATTCCTTTGAAAAGACTATTATAAATTTAGTAGTAAACCAAGACACTACAGGAAAATAAAACAACAGAATCATATTTGAATAACCACAGTCACAGTCATTCTAAGCAAATCAAGTGAGATAAATTGTTTCCATTGAGTCATAAGACTCAAGGCGAGTTAAAGCTGAAGGAAGCTTCAGGGTAGGACTAGGGCTGAAGCTGAGCTCCTCCCCCCATTGTTGTTAACTCCCTCTCTGCACTAGGTGCAGCAGAACTGGAGGCTGTGTCACTGGGCTGGGCTGGGTCCTCACTCAGAGCCCTCTCCAGACTGGCAGGCAGAGAGTGGATCAGTCTCTGTCGGAAGTCCTGACCCACAAACACATACAGCACTGGGTTGAGGCAGCTGTTGAAGAAGGCTAGGGAGCTTGTTGGATTGACCAGGATGTCAAGGATCTTGTATTTACCCTCTAACAGCATCTCTTTGAGCCAGATAGTGCTTAGAAGTGCAACCAGCTGGAAGGGGAACCAACAGATGAAGAAGGAAGCCACCACAGCAGTGAGGACCCGAAAGGGGCGGCTGGAATTCATCATGCCTTTTCTGTGAATTTTGGCTGCAATGAGCCCATAGCAGATGGCGACCATGGACATGGGCATGCTGAACCCAATAAGGAACCGGATGATCCCTCTAGCTGTCAACATGGCGATGGCCACCTTCCACCTCTTCTCAACAGTGTCTCCCCAGGATGCAAAGGAGAAGGTGCAGTATACATTTCCATTTGGATCACTAGCTGTGGTCAGGAAGATGAAAACCGGCAAGGTAAGGACTAGTGCAAGAACCCAGGGCCCAAGGATCACCTTCTTGGCCAGACTCACAGTGCGGTGGTTCTGGGCCCACACTGGATGCAAGACACAAATACAGCGGTCCAGAGCAATGAGGGCAATCAGGAAGACACTTCCAAACAGGTTTATGTCCACAATGATATGAATCAGCTTGCAAAGGAACCAGCCAAATGGCCATTTTTCTCCCATGGCCATGGAGACGATTTGGAAAGGGAGGGTGGCAGTGAAGGAGAAGTCGGCTAAGGCCAGGTTCAGGTAACAGATGGTGGTGACTGTGTGTGCCATCCGGAATCCAGCCACCCAGATCACCAGCCCATTGCCCAGCACACCAAGGACAAAGGTGATGGCGAGTACCACCAGTGGGAATATCCGCAGCACAGCATAGCCAGCTGATTCATAAGACATCTCTTCAGTTCTGTTTAGAGGGATTGAGAAGTTGCCTTCCATCCTACCAATACCTGAAACATTTCAGCGAAGGTCACTTGTCAGGTGTGGATTTACTTGAGAGCATCCCTATTCAGGTCCTATATCATCTGCCAGTATTTGTTCTACTTTAACTGGGGAAATAAGTCTACCAAGCCTGGTGGCCAGTAATGCTCTAAAACTGGAAAGCTCTTTGATGTTCTTATGAAAAGGAGAGTTCTCCATGTTCTCACAATGACCAGTCTGCATCTATGTGATGACATCACTTCCTCCATATTGTGTGCAAGAAGAACTCGGCAAAGGGGTCCCCATTGCTACTTGCAACACAGTACATTTCATTGTCCTTGCTTGAAATCATCTTTGGGAAGCAAAGAATTTGTACATTCAGTGTTCTGTGACATAGAGTATATGAGAGGGATAACTTTTGTAAATACTTGTGAGGGTCTCATTATAGACCACGGGCTCTGTTGATTGCTCTACACAAGGACCAGTTTTTTACATGCTATGATTTGTGTCTGGGTGTCCCCCCACAAGCTCATGCAATCATGGAGGTAGCTAAATCTAGCACTTGTGATTGGTTCATTGTCTAGTGCTGGGATTGGCAGTGTGAGTGCTGCACCCGACCTGGAGTGAGTAGTCTGCATATAATACAATGGAAGGAAAGAGGTGTGCTTCCTGCTTTTGCCCTTTTGCTCTGGTTGCATCTGGTATCTGCTGAAGCTGCTACAAAGGGCTGCTCCTCAGCCATGCTACACTGCCTTGGAACCAGCTGAGTATGAACTGAAACCTCCACAAACTGTGAGCTAAATAAAACTTTCCTTCCTTCATTTTGGGCATCAGATATGTTGTCTCAGCAATGAGAGAAAAGTAACAAAGACAATGGGCAATATTACTCAACACTGTTTATTTCTAGCTTCCCTAGGCATGAATTGGAATTCACAAGAACTGTGAAGCCTGCTGTAGAATGCTTAACTAGTAAATAATGCAGAAAGCATTTCAGTTCGGCCAGGTATAGAAATAGGAGTTACTGGAGAATGGTCTACATGAAGTCATCATCATAATATTAAAGGGTACTATCATCTCTTTTACCAACCAGAAACCGTAACTGAAGGTTTTCATTGGCTTTTTCGGCATATGTCCAGCCAGTTCATTGGGGCAGCAATATGTGAAGACCAGATGTAACCAGTTCCAGTGCTATTGCCTTTGCTAGGCTGAAGTGCTACCTTTGAAAAGGCTTTCCCCAGGATTACCTGACATAATATAGGTAGGATTCCCCCATGCACCCCTCCCCACTCTGTATCCCAGTGTGGAATTTTCCTTCTCTTTTCATACATATCCCATTCTTTTCTCATTTTCACTGAGGTCTTCTATGGGATGCTGTGTAATAAATTGTTGAATTTCTCCAGTTTAGCCTTGCTGATGTTGGACCTTGGATATTTCTTTGTGTGGCGATACTGTGCACACGTTGTAATAGAAGCATGTTTGGCCTCTGTCCATTATATGCCAGTAGCAACTTCCCTCCAGGAATGACAACCAAAATTATCTCCCAAGAAATAAAATGACCCCTTTTAAAAGTCAGTGTCATAATTAAAGACTACTGGTGTCTAGAGTTACATAAGCCTGTGTTCTAATGCCATTTATAATGCCTCCCCAATGTGAGTCCTTAGACAAGGTCAACCTTTGAGCTTTAGTTTCCTCCTCCACAGAATGGGGATGGTTTATGGTGAATACTGACTTCCATGTAAAGATTAGAGACTATATATGGAAATTTTGGATGAACCATGTGAGTCTCTAACAAATGGGAGCCTGCTGTCTTCACCAGTCTCTGTACTGAGTCCTGAGGCTCAGTTTAGGGATAGGCATCATGGAATCTCAAGGAGAGTCAAGAGCAATGGTCCTAAAAGTGTGTCTGACATTTGCCAATGTCCTCCACCCCGGAACAGCCTTCTTCTCACTACACAGCTCCCTGCAGTAGCCCAAGCAGACAGCATGTGTTGACATGTATGCAGCACTGACTGCACCAGACATATGGTAGATATCAAATGATATTAACCATAACAAATGTTACCATTGTATAGATGAAGCAGTAAAAACTTAGGCTGCTTGCATTAATTGTCCAAACCTCCCAGCTAGAAAGCAGCATGGCCAGAATGTAACCTCAGTCAACTGATCTCTCTTCTTACCCTGCACCTGTCCTAGAAGGCACTCAGCAGATGATGCACTCAGTAATCTCTAAGTGAATGATTTGAAAATGTTAATACAACAAAAGGCACACTGACACGACAGTGCTGCGGAGGGTTGGGACACCCTGGTACAGAGGTGGGGAAGAGAGTTGTGAGCCATGTACCCTGTGCTCTAATATGTGCCAGCCATCTGGTTTCAACACCCTCTGTTTGGGGCAAAAGTCACCATCGTGTGATACAAGAGGAAACCACAGCTCAGAGAGGGGAAGTGTACTGCCACATGTCACAATTATTACAGTGACCGAAGACTTTAACTTAGCCACAGATTCCAAAGGGGAACTCAGCACTCTGTGTGAAATTACTGCTTTTTTTAAAAGCATATTCACACTCCTTTCTTTAAAATACCTTTTAATGCTTCCTTTTCTGCAAATCACCTACCTTATCCACTACCCTACGCTCAACTTATGCCCTCGACTGATATTTCACAGAGAAAATGTTAAAATTAGGTGGCAACTTTTAAGTCTTCTCTTTGCAAACTCTCCAGTCTATGGGCACCTGGTTTTGTGACTAAAGGGATCTTACCCTTTAGTCACAAACTCGCTTTCCTCATTTGCTCCGGATCTTTCTCACTCACCTTCCCCAAAACACGACACCTGCACTTTGGCTTCTGTTTTTCTGTCCTCCAAACTCCCCTCTACTAGCTCATCCCAGTTGTTGCATAAAATTGTAATAGCGGTGCCCCTCCCTTTTAAAAAAAAGATGTGATCTCAGTCCCACATTCCTTTCTACTTCTCTCTTTCTGGACTCTAAAGTCAGAATCCAGTCAGACTCTAGAAAAAGGATTCTCCAACTGTCCCCTCCACTTTTTTGCCTCACATTTTCTGCTGGTCTCCCTCCAGGTGACCTGGGTCCTCCATGCATCACTGAATGCACATTATCAAATTCGATGGTCCCTTCTCTCTCCTCATCCTGATCCCCAGGGAAGCAGCATCCATCAGAATTCCTTCTTCCTGAGACGTCTTTTGCTTTTTCTTTGAGATGATGAGACACACACACAACACAGTCCTCACAGTCTGTGTAGCTCAATCTGCCGACTTCTGTTAGTGGAATTTACCAGCTATTTTAATTCCTTAATTTTGAGCTGAAGAGTTGGGCTCATGCCCATCCCATCTCCCCATTCTCCTGGGTAGCAGTTGTAGGGATGTAAGTCAGTTCCACAGCTTAAACTATCTCATTACGTCTAATCTAAATTGTCATCTTTGGCATTGCTTCAGCCCCCTAGCCTATAGAATCTGCTGACTTCCTTCTCTCTCCTCTGGTAATCTGTGACACCCTCAGACAAAGTCCTTCCGATGTGTCCTGGTCTCCCAAACAAGCCACTCTCCCAAAACTCCATCCACAACTGAACTCACATATTCAGTTACCAAAGCTCCAAATGTAGAACTTATCTTTGATCTCTTCCTTTACCTCCCAGCCCAACTCTCCCCCTATAGATTCTAAACACACTCAGCATGTACCAGGACCCTCCCCACCCACCTGCACCTCCACTAGCCTCAACAAACAAATTAGTCCTGATCATGCCCCTCTCCCCTCCCCACCCCTACCATCCCGTCTGCCTTCTAAACAAACAAACAAAAAAAAAATCCCAACAATCTTGACAAAAGAACAAATAAAACCAGGACATAAGAGGAGGTGTGGTGGCACATACCTGTGGTGTTGTCTACTTGTCAGCACGATGAGACAGAACGGTGAGAAGTTTGACTCCAGTCTGGCAAGTTAGGGAAATCAGTGTAAAAATAAGAGGTTGTTTTGTTTTTTTTTTTTAATGTGGGAGGTAGTTCAGTCGCACAGTCCTTGGGTTCAGTCCCCCTACTGTACATTAACAGGAAAGAAAGAAAGAAATTGTGACATTATTTTGTCAGCGCTTTCCTGCACCCGCAGCCTAACTCCTAGTCCCCCACGTCTGCCATGTCTGTCCTCACACCTCACCCATCCACGCAGACCTTTTACACCAAGCTCCTTCACATCCTCGTTGCCCTCTCAGGGACTCCACACTCTCGGTTCCCTTCTGCTCACAATTCTTTTCCCTTTGAACTTCTCTCAAGGGTCTGTCCTGGACTGTGATGAAAAGCTTGTCCCACCAGTTACCTTTCTTGTCTATGTGTTGAATGATTTATTTCTCCCTTCTAACACCCTGTGCCCTAGTTTGTAACTCCACAAGACCACTGAGTTCCTTCGGTGCTCTGTCCCTGTCACACTGTCCGGTGGAAATTCAATGTGAGTCACCCACAGGACGCACCCAGATGACTTAAAATCTTCTAGTAGTCCTGTTGAAAAGAAAAAAGTTTGAAAGTGCCAGGAAAATGGATTTGAGTGATACAATTTATTTAACCCAACATATTAAAAATACTGTTGGTGTATGCTATCAAATAAAAATTGTGAAGCCAGGTTTGGTGGCACCTGTCTATAATCCACTTCTCTGGAGCCCGGGACAGGAAGATGGAGAGTTCCAGCCCAGCCTGGAAACTTAGTGAGACACTATCTTTTTAAAAAATCCTAATTAGGGGCTGGGGGTTTAGCTCAGTGGCACAAGTGCAAGGTTGTGAGTTCGATCCCCAGTACAAAAAAAAAAAAAAAAACCCTAAATAAATAAAATGAAACACAATAAAAATAAACAAGCTCATTTACATTCTGCTTTTCGTATCTGAATATAAGAAGCGCACTTTGTTCTCAGTACTTTCAAGAGCTCTGTGGCTGAGCTCAGCAGGTGAAGACAATGCTAGCAGCTCTCCCTGTGAGTTTAGGAAGTCTGTCATCTAATAGGCTTTCAAACAGTAATTTGTAAATTTTCGGACGGCCGCTTACCACCAGCTCCGATCCTTTTCCTGTGGCAGGCCCCTCGCTTCCTGTGCAGTCCAAGAGTCCATTGGCCTTCAGCAGAGAATTTATTGGCTGACAAAGGGAGGGGCAATGAAGCCAGAGCCAATCAGGTGGGGGAAAGTGGAAGGTCCTTATGGCTTCCGGAAGGTACTACAGATGTGACAGCAGGCAGCACTTAGAAAGGTTCAGGTCTGGATATCCCCCCAGCTCCAGCCTTCTGTGGGAGGCAGAGGGTCTGTCCTGTGAATTTTAAGGTCCAGGAAGCAGGTACCTGATCACTTTCTTGATCAGAAGATGAGAAAAATGGAAGAAACAGCTACTGAGGAAAGAATAGTGGAGACAAGCAGTAAAGCAGAAGTGATGGTTGACCAAATCCTCTCTTCTGCACTTGTGCAATGGTTCCGATGCTGAATGTGTGAGATCTGTCCACAGCAATCAATTCCCCACTTCTCTGTGGACATTCTCAGGGTGTCCTACAATTCAAAGCCACGCAGGTGGAACGCGAGAGGCACAGACACTACTCTGTGGAGGAGACACAAAGTAGTTCCCATTCATCTTCTTAAAGCACTGCACCAAGCAGTTGGGTAGATCTGGGTGTCACCACCGAGAAGGGAGCCTAAGAGGAGAAGCAGAGTAGATGGGTGGACTACGGCTGCTGTGGCCAGCACCAGAGATGAGAGGATTAAATAGAGGGTGATGTTCTCGCAGTTCTGGAGGTTGTCCATAGCAAGCAATTCTCCACTTACATGGACTTTAGCTCGGTGTCCTACCACTCAGCCTGAGATTCGGTGTGGCCCTCTCTCCATTACCAGCAGATGGCGTCTGCACCCTTTGTCCTCCCGTGGTCCTTGCTCTGTGCACGTCTTCATCCTAATCTTTCCTGTTAGAGACGCAGGGCATACTGAGTTCAGGTGCAGCCTAAAGGACTTCATTCAACTTGGCGACACTTTAAACGCCTTATCTCTGAGTGTCACATGCTAAGGGGGTGGAGTGTCAGAGAAGACACAGTTTATGCCATAAAATAGAATTATGGGCCACAGTGATGAAAGAAATTGCTGGAGGCAGGCCAAAGGGGCAAATGTACCCAGGACAATGGATCTGGGGTGCAAGTCTTGGCTGGAGATAGGGATCTGAGGACAGGTGGCTGATGTGCCACTGAAATATTGGGCATGGAGAGATCCATGCAAAGTAGGAGCTAGAGTACTTTCTAATTGCTGGGACATAGGCAATTTTTTTTTTTTTTTATCGGTACCAGGGATCAGACTCACGACTGTGCGCTTGCAAGGCAGGTGCTTATGCCACTGAGCTAAATCCCCAGCCCCAACATAGGCAATATTTATGCACAAGAATTCAGCCTGAGTTCACTGGATCCATTACATTATGTGCTCATGTGGAGGAGGAAGAATGCTCTGTAAATATTGTTACTCTCAATTCATAGTAAAATGACTGAGAATTAGCAGTTAAAGTCAAGGACCAAATACAGTCTGCTTTCCTATTGCTGGTTCAAGATTTTGTGGCACTTCAAAATGATATGAAATCTAGCTGCAATGTCCTTCAGCGAGGATCTGGGGGTATAGTCATGCTGACCGTGGGTGTGCGTACCCCACGCTGTGTCCCCGCAGACCCATGCTGGTGAGTGGCCCTTTATCGATGACAGGGACTCTGGTCATCCAATCGTCCTGTTGTGTGTCAGGTGCAGTGCAGACCTGGGTTCCGGCCCAGGCTTCCCTGTCTCAGGCCCCCACCCAGAGACATCGCGATTGCCAGAGGTCATCGCAGAATTTCAGGTGCTAAGGGGTCCTGGAGATTCCTGCAGCCTCAGCTGGGATTTTCCACTCCCAGCTCAGCCCGGATGCCGCTTGCCTTGGGCGTTGCTGGTATTAGGCAATGGGACCGGGCATATGCAAATCCACCCTGAGGCTCCCCTTTCTTTCCACACCCTGTCTGCCTTGGCCAAGCTGCCTTGCTCTGCAGATCCTGGTGATCTGGTTATGGGCCTTTGGGGAGCCAGGAAGCAAAACCCACTTATGCTTTAATAAGTGGAGGAGATGTTGGGAGTCCAACATCCAGCAAGGAATCCGTGGGAAGAACAGTCCAACTTCTGAAGATTTCAGATGTGCCCAGCAGCATTCTCTGTGCAGCACCTCGTCTCTAATTTTCTCTTGGCATCTGCACCGTTCTTGATGGATCACTTAGTCCTATGCCGGTGTCTTAGCTTTAATTCTCCCACCAGATTTTGCCTTCCTTGTGAGTCTTGGACTCTGTCATTACCCCACCTCCCTGGGAGCTTTCTAAAGATGCATCTGTTGTGTACGACCACAAAGAACTTTTTATAACATGTAAATCTGAATGTATCTCACTTCTGATTCCTTTATTTTTCCTAGCTTGGGATGCTGTAAGTGAGATCAGGAAATATGGCAGCTACTTTGTAGCCATGAAGTGTCCATCATGAGAAATTCACAATACTGAGGATTATGAAGTATGAAATAAGTGTGGTTCTTGATTACAGTGTTCAAACAGAACCTAACTTACTACCACCCATTTCCAAATGCTTTTAAGGTGAGCCTTCAACATGGCTCTTGGTTTAAGCCACTGCTAAGTGTAAACTATATATTACTTAGAATAGAAATCAGCCTATTGGAACCAGGCAGTGGAAATAACATTTTTAGGATGACTCCTTTTACCTTGGTCTTGGAATTTTTCTTCCCACATTCTTCTATGATGTTAAAACCTTAGATAATAACAAAAGTTTCCTAAAGACTAAAACTTCTCTGGGCTAAAATCTTATAACAAGCTTGCACAGGGATGAGAATTAGAGGCTTCATCTTCAGAGTGGTGGCTGAGCAAAGAGCGCTTACTCCTGTCTTTCTGATCTCTCCCTCTCTGTCTCTCTCTCTCTCTGTGTCTCTCTGTCTCTCGCTGTTTCTCCCCCCCCACACTGCTCCCGTGTGTGTGTGTGTGTGTGTGTGTGTGTGTGTGTGTGTGTGTGTGTGTCTGTGTGTGTCTGTGTGTCTGTGTGTCTGTGTGTGTGTCTGTGTGTGGCCAGCTCCTGCCTCTCATCTCCATTCTGTGTGTTATCATTTACTGCAGATGCTTCTCACCTAAATATTTCCCTTCTCTGTATCCTGACTACTTGGAGGAGAGCAACCTGGGCACTTAATCCCTCGACCCTTGATGAGGAGAGTGCCGAACTTCTGCATTCCACAGAAGACTTAGACTGAGCAGAACCTTCAGGCTCTAGAGTATTTGAAAGGATTCAGTCCAATCTCCAGTCTTTCTGTTTGTTTGTTTGGCTTTGTTTGTTTTTGAGACAGTCTCACTAAGCAGTACAGACTGGCCTTGAACTCACTTTGTAGCCAAGGCTGGCCTCAAATTCACTGTGATTCTCCTGCCTCAGCCTCCTAAGTGCTGGGACTATAGGCATAGGCCACTACACCCAGCTCCAATTTCTTTTAAAACTGATGCCATATCAGCCTATTCTTGGGGTCTTTATGAAGCACTAGGACCTTTGTTTTCCTGTTTTCTGTTACTCTGTTTTAGCTCTTATACCTTCCCCAGCTCCCTGGGTGTACCTTCAGCTAAGACTATTGCAGCAGAGTCTCTGTCTTCTGGACTCAGAACTTCGAACTGCCCAGGCAAAGACCACAGCTGGTGAACTGTCTGAGTGAGGGACAGTGCCCAGAGCTGGGGAGCTTGGCAAGGGGATCCTCCGTAGATTGGTGTTCACAACAAACCCTTCAGAGTGAGCTGGAGAGAATTACAAAAGGAATGTGAATACAGAAAGCTCACGCCATGCTTTCAGGATGGACAAGCAAGGAATTGGCTAGAAAGAAAAGAATAATGTCACTCTGAAGAGCAATTATGTTTTAAAGGTTAAGAAATTGTAAAGCAAGGGTCTGCAGGCCCTGAGCTGTTGACTGTTATAGGCCTTTGGCTTGTTCAGAACTAGTACAGGTCCAAGATTT